GGTTCGATCTTCGCCATCACCAATGCAATAATTAATTGCAATTATAAGTTGCTACGTGCTTGGCGGTGAAGGAAAACATCTTTTTCTTTGCAAAGTGGTAGAACCATGCTGCAGCTACATTAGTAGAATAGTTGTAGTACGAAGGAGTCGGCGCGACCGGGGAAGGACCACACTCTCACAGAATACCAGCGTAAAATAGCAGCTTAAAGCTGCTATTTTACCAGCTTAACGCTGCTATTTTACGCATTAACATTATCATTATGCCATGTTTTTGTTGGTAATCGGAGAGAGAGTGGCCCTCTCTGAACGAAACGTTCTATTAGTTCCGCAGCTATTATTAACTGCAGCATGAATCTACCACATTTTTAAACTAATGACTAAATAAATAGCAGGTATGGGCACTAATAACATATAGTAATTTTAGTTATTATGTCTTTTAAATTCTTACCTTATGAAATTAGACTTAATTAACGCTCGAAATTACTTTTGTTTCCACGCCATCAACAATTTGGACTAATTCATATCGTAATGTGAAATATGCTCATTGTAAATTAATGCAACGCACCACAGTACCAGTACCCCATATTTCTTCGTGTCGTAACTTTGACCTATTCCGCCTACAGTTGTTACTGCACGCACCCTATTGCGTGACACTCGTCCACTTCCATTTCACGTTGTGATGTTTTATTTTTATACTTATGTTTCTATACGTACCTATAATTATTATAGCATGTATGTAAGGTTGCAATAGAAAATTAATTAAATGAATGTTTTAGTTATAACCAAAGACCCTTCGGGCCAGCCTTGTCTATTGATTTAACAGACTTCAAAAAAAGGAAGAGGTACTCAATTCGACTGTATTTTTTATGAGTGTTGCCTCAGAATTTTTTTCTAGGTGAACCAATTTCGATTATTCTTTTTTTATTTCAAAGCTGGTACTTCTCATGTAGTTCCATATGTTAATTTGATCAAGATCTGACAAGTAGTTTTTGAGTTATCCTTAATAATGCGTATTTAATTGACTTCGACTACATTTATGTTCTCATTTTATTTATATTGAAGTCGGTTGTACAACTTTTTATTTGGAACGTAGTTCCTTATCGGACGGTACGGGTTTGGCGGATGGGGGCTAGGCGACAAAAAGTGTACGATTTTTTCGTCACTACCCCTTGTGTCATAGTGTAGACGGCTTTGGCGGTTAAATAAAAAAGTGAGATGGAATGAAAGAAATATTATTTTATTTCAAATGACGATTCATTTTAATAAACGCTAGTAATTCATTTATTTGTATTTCTTAATCAATAATACAATACCTACGTTTATCAATAATAATATACTACGCAAGGAACTTCGTTCCAACCGCGTGTTCCACGACACTCACGCATTTTTTTAATGTTAACACTAGTTTTATATATTTTACAGTACAGACAGTAGGAATTCATAAAAGCAGACGAAGATTATATGACCTTTACCATTAAAGATCATATAATCATTCCGATGCTTTTAAAGAATATGTCAAATATAATTCTAAAATGTTTAAATGAGTTTGCTAAAATTAAGACGGCTAAGAATAAAATAAAATAAATAAATAAAATGACGTGGAGCATAATTAACAGCGAAACCGGTATAGACAAACCTCGTAACTCAAACTATCAATTAAAAATTAATAATGAATTGACTAAAACAAATCAAAAAGTTGCAGCGGTGTTTGAGAAATATTTCACCGATGTTCCTATCTTGACATCAGAGTCATTGAATTATTCTCCAACTGTCGCCGAGTCATTACTTAAACAGAATGTTACCACCTGTTTAAAATAATTTAGATTTAAAAGAGTATTACCGCATAATATTGTAAAATACTTCAAAACCATTGATGTAAAGAAAACTGCAGATTTGTGGGGGGATTTCCGTTACAGTTATTGCGTACATAATAGATTTAATTTCACCTCATCTTGCTATTATTTTTAATACTTGTATCGGTTCTCGTATGTTTCCTGATTTAATGAAGTATAGTAAAGTAATACCTTTATTTAAATCTAGTAGTACATTGGACCCCGCTAATGTTAGACCTATTTCTGTACTACCAACTCTCAGTAAAATTTTTGAAAAAATAATTTTTGATCAATTATTAATTTTTTTATTACAAAGAAATTACTTCATAAAAACTAATTTGGTTTTACAAGGGGTCGCTCAACGTCTGACTCCGGTGTTGAGCTTATGAAATATATATTTTAATGCCTGGCAGAATTCACAAGATGCCTTCGGTATTTTCTGTCACCTTTCCAAGGTTCTAGATTGAGTTCATTATGAGACATTAATCAGGAAACTACAACATTACTGTGTAAAAAATTTGGAGCTTAGACTTATTACTTCATATTTAAGTAACAGATCTCAAAAAGTCGTGATCAACGGTAAAGGTTCCTCTGGATCGGTGGAGTATCAATGGGCGTTCCTCAGGGCTCGATTCTTGGCCCATTCCTGTTCTTAATCTTTATTAATGACTTACCTTATTTATCTATCTTAACAATCACAATCCTCTTTAATTTTCAAACTCAAACGGCAGTCAATTAATTATGTCAATGTAAATAATGCCCTATCGAAATTAGTACATTGGTTTAACGCCAACAATTTGCTCTTAAACGGCAATAAGACAAAATGTATTAAATTTACAATACTTAATGTAAAACATTCGAAAACCAATGTGCTCTTAAATGGGGAGGAGTTGAGTCTTGTGGATACCACTGTTTTTCATGGTATTACTATTGACGCGAAACTTAGTTAAGTAAAGCAGACTTAGTTCTGCAGCATATGCTGTAAGAAAGATTAGAAGTCTCACAGATGTTGAGATTAGTGTATTTTAGTAACTTTCATAGCGTAATGTCTTATGGAATTTTGCTATGGTATAATGCGACTGACATCGAAGCTATTATATATATATATATATATATATATATATATATATATATATATATATATATATATTTGTTTTGCAAAAGAGAGCCGTACGGGATATTTATAACCTAAATTGTAAAGAGTCCCTCAGAATTTATACGTGGTAGAGCCATGCTGCAGCTATATTAGTAGTATAGTTGTAGCACGAATGGGTCTGCTCGACCGGGGAAGGACCACGCTCTCACAGAATACCAGCGTAAAATAGCAGCTTAATGCTGCTGTGTTTCGTATGGTGAGTGTAGAGAACCGGAGACCCATTTTACTGGAAAAGAGGCATTCCATCTTAGTCCTCACGGGTGACAACGCATCTGCATTTTGATTCGCAAACGAAGATAGATGTAGATGTCTATGGGCCGCAGCAACCACTTACCATCAGGTGAACTGTGTGCTCGTTTGTCACCCTTTTCTATAAAAAAAAAAGAAAACATTTAAAAAAAATAAACATATTAACTTTGGCATCGCAATATATTTATGAAAATGTAATGTATGTACATAAAAAGATAAATAACTTTAATAAGAATAAGGATGTTCATACCTTAAACACTAGAAACAAACATAAGCTTGTAATGCCAGTTACTAGACTCCACAGAATCAGTAATTCATTTATGGGGCAATGTATACACTTTTATAACAAAATCCGAGAACATGTTCAAAGTTTGTCAATAAACAAGTTTATAAGTTTTATTAAAGAAAATCTGTACAAAAAGGGTTATTATAATATCAAGGAATACATGAATGAAAATAACCCCTAGGAATAAAGTGATCGCCACCATGCTGGTTCTATGAAAATTTAAAAATGTATGAACAAAATTATTGTTAAGTGAAATTATGTTTAAAAAAAAAGTCCCGCTGGGTTTCTTGCTGGTTCTTCCCAGGACAGAGGTATTTTCCGAACCAGTGGTAACTAAAAAATTATTTTCAATAAGTATTATGTAATAATCAATATTGAATAAAAAAATCATTCTATTCTATTCTATCAAATGCATCAAATTGTGTTTGGCTGATTAATCAATATGGAAGAAAATTTTATATTATTTATGTTGATCGAGAATTAACAAATTAAATATTTACACTTTTACATAATAACATCCATTATTGCTTACGTATGCCTTGCTATAATTGAAAAATGAAACAATCGGCATTGATAGTTCCTATCTTTTATAATTTACATCTATAATTCTTTTCTCTCATAGTCACGTATACTATTATTCAACATCACAACAAAATACAGTGCAATAATATTGTGTACCGTACTTTGTAATTTCCATAAATTTATTAGAGCAATCGTTAAAGACCGCAATCGCTAGTGCCGGTACGATTGCTGGGTGCAGTATAATAAGCAATAATTTACATAGAATTATTTAATTATATGTGCACTGTCCTGGAGTTATAACCTCGTAATTCAAAAACTCGTAGATAAGACTATGTAAAACCCTTTCAATTGTATTTTTAGATGACACTAAAAACAGTGGCGTATCTAGGGAAGGATGCCACACGACAACCGACAGTGATAAAATTAAACTTACAAAAATTCTAGTAGATAGAGTATTGTCACAGTATTAATTTAGATAATTTATTACGTGCATAATTTATTACAATTATTTACTACGGAAACCTGCATGACTGAGAAATAAAACAGAAGATGTTCTTCGAAATATTTTGTGTTCGTGTGAAATTCGCTAACACGCATTGATTCTAGATCACTCCTGGTATTACTCTCTATTTGTTCGTGAAGTTCGTAATAAAACGATTGATTCAGCTATTCCTAAGATTAGCTAATGGTTACTCATGTTTCAATAACATGTAAATATTTTATACAAAAATATTTACAAACAAAATCAACTACAATTATGAAGAACACTCTCAGAACACATCGTAGCTCACAAAACGAAACCGGACTGATTTTTTGATAAGTTAAACTGAAATTATAGAACGTACTAAAACGCATATCGCAACGTATTTTTTGCAGTCCTTGCAGTCCACTTTTGACGGCTCCGTGGCGGAGTTGCTTTTCAAACTTTATACAGATACAAACATATTACACGAACCTTGGTGTAGATTTGCCATTACAGTCGACACGATCTGGTGCCACTTTTCTCCGAATAACACGTCGATAGATCCTGGCACAAACGCCAAGCCTCGAACAGCGAAATCGGTGCCACAGACAACCGTGCCGGTCTTCAGAGTCGTTTTCATTCCCATTCATGTTTTCTTCACTCATTTGATAAGAACAAATTTTGTTATACTGGTTAAGTAATTTTATTATTCCCTATTGTTATTATTTTCCACTTCTAATTCCATCGCAGAAAGATGTGTGTCGACATCATTTCAAATGGAAGTAGTCTCTGCCTAACCCTCTGGGTAACAGGCGTGAGTGTTTATATATGTACGTTATTCTTAAGCCGGTTCATCTTTTGACTGTTTTTAATTATAAAATATTAAATAGCATACTTAATTAATTATCTTTCACTGGTTTCTTTATATAGCCTTCGGCTATATTTTTATAGAAGCGAGGATGTTGAATCGAGCACACATACAACATGATGGCGGTTTGATGCTGTGGACCATAGACATCTACGTCTATCCTCGATTAAGAATCGAAATACAGTTATATTGTCACTCATGTAGACCAAGTTTCTTGAGATACGAAACATAGCAGCATGATGCATATAGAAGCTGGTAAAATAGTTCACGCTGGTATTCTGTGCGAACGTGGTCCCCCGCCAGTGGATACGGCCATTCGTGCTACAGCGTGGTTCTACCGCGTGCAAATTACGTAATTTACGTAATAGCATAATTGGTTTGCATGAGTTAATAGACGTTATTATTATGAATTATTATTACATACTGTTTTCAGTCCTGAGCCGTGGTAGTTCAGTACGCGAGCACCTGGGTTCGATTCCTGCCATCACTAATGAAATATTTAATAGCAATTTTAAGACTTAACTTATTACATGCTCAGCGGTGAAGGAAAACATCGTGAGAAGCCTGCATGTTTGAGATATTAAAAAATATATTTCGGAGACATGTAATATCTACCATTTAGGCAACGTGGTGGACACTTCTTTACCTTAAAACTCTCTCGCAAACGAGAGGAGGCCTGTGTCCAGGACTGGGACGTAAATAGACTGTAACATAATTGTTTTAGCGCAAATTAAAGCCTTCTTTTAAAAAAAAGATTTTGAATTTTCAGTTCTTTGAGTTTATTTATTTAAAAAAAAAGCATCACCTGCCCTTTTCCGTCGTTTTAATTATTTTTATGATACTCAAAAATGTTTAGGATATTATGATTTTATCCTTAGGTGTCGGTCTGGGTAAGTACCACCAACCTTTTACTTATTTCTGTTAACAAATAGAAGTGTTCGCAAGGTATAGATTTTTTTAAACTGGCTTTATGGCTCTGGGTTCTAGCCCTTCTGAGCCTGGCAAGGTATATAGCGCCAATATGATTACAGGTTGTGAGGCGATCAATCTTAGTTTTTAGAGGTGACAACCTTAGCCTTCTTTTTCTCAAGATGGCTGCAGGTGGACTAAAAGTTTTTTTGTCACTAGTTTTATGAAAAAAGTTACGATAACTCTATTGGTTTTTAGTTACTAAGTTCGAATAGACAGACTTTTTTTATGGAATTCTGATGACAAACAAGCACACAGTCCATTTGAGGGTAAGTGGTTGTTATGGCCTATAGATATCTACATCTATCCTTGACTAAGAATCAAAATGCAGAATGCGTTATCACCCCTGATGACTAAGATGCCTCGTTTCCAGTAAGAAAGGTCTCCGGTTTTCTGCACTCACCATACGAAACAGCATATAACCATTTCATGCTGGTATTTTGTGAGATCGTGGTCCTTCCTTTGTTGAGCCAACCTATTCGTATATAATATAATATTGCTACAGCGTGGCTCTACCACGCATGAAAGAATGAGAATTCAGTGGCAAAAAAGATCTTTATCAGATATAACTTACGAGGCAAAGGTTTCACTTCGAGGGTTCTGATACGAAGTAACTATGGTTTAAAAAAGTAAAGTTGCAGTCTACATACGTCCCACAGCTGGGCATATACACCTCGTATATATGAAAGATTTAGAGAGAAATGTCCGCCTGAAATAAAGAAAAAAGGTGCGGAAGATCGCGTTAATGTAGGAAAACCGATCTCAGCGAAAAACTTTAATTATTTGCCAGTGCGCTAAAACAATTTATGTATTTTATTCACACACACATTCACATAAATTAAAATATATATTTATTTAAGCTTAAATCGCTCCGCAAAAAAAAGATATTTAAAGTTCTTTAACCTTAATTTACATTTGAATGTTACCTGACCTAATGTTTTTCAATTATTATTAATATTTGTAAAAAACTTCCTAAGACTATTTTCGTGTGGAAACTATCACAAAGCTTGACTAGGATTGTCGATTTCTATTTTAAATTTATTTTTTATATTTAATAAACAACTATTTTACGCGTTTATTTAGTCAACAAGTTACGTTCCCGCGAAATTATTCTATCCAAATCAACACGGGGCACGTGTCACGGCTGCCGCTAAGTAGTCACTGTATCGTTCAATGAATATCGACTACACCGACTTTCGCCACATTGACGACCGCGTAAGGCTGCAGGCACATTAAGACCTGGCAGGACCAAAATACCATATTTTACGATTTTGACGCTATAGAATTTATACTTCTTGAAATACTATATGATAGACATATTCTTGAAAATAGACGCTTAGATGAAAATATTCAATTATATTCTTAATTGAATGGATTTTAGCAATACTTTAAATTAATCGAGATGAAAGATTATAATTTAACGCCCCTAGGTTTGAAATTCGAGTTGCTTTTTAAACAATGTTATACATACAAAAAAATTCAATAATATAAAAGGCATATTATTTAATAATATTCTTTATAGGCTACATTTCCATTTGTCCTCACGGGTGGCAACGCATCTGCATTTTGATTCTCAAACGAGGATAAATGTAGATATCTATGGGCCACAGCAACCACTTACCATCAGGTGGACTGTGTGCTCGTTTGTCACCCTATCCTATAATAAGAAAAAAACGAGTTGTTGCCCGTCCTTTTTGCTCATTTTATTAAATAATTTCTGAGCCACGTCTACGTGCTGTTTTCGAGAGTCATTACGAATCGTCTCGTACGTAGACTCGATTACTTCAAGCCTATCGAACAAGCCCGTTTCCTAAAAGGCTTTAGTACCATAGACCTACTTACCTAACCTTCGGCAAATTGTACAAAAGACCGAAGAGTACAATCTGCCACTTTGTCTTGCGTATGTGGACTATGAAAAAGCCTTTGATTCCGTCGAAAATTGGGCGGTGCTGCAGTCCCTTCAGCGGTGCCAAGTGGACTGTCAGTATGACGAGGTACTGAAAGGTTTGTACAGTAGGGCTACGATGGCTATCCGAGTAACCAAAGTACGAAACCTATCCAACTGCAGAGAGGTGTAAGACAGGGGGTTATATTCCCGAAACTCTTTACCGCTGCATTGGAAGACGTTTTCAAGCTACTGGACTGGAAAGGATACGGTATTAACATCAATGGCAAGTACATCACTCACCTTCGAATTGCAGACGATATAGTTCTTATGGCAGAATCGCTGGAGGTCCTAAGCACTATGCTCAATGAGTCAATGACCTCAAAAATGTCTCCCAACAGATAGGTTTTAAGATGAACATTGACAAAACGAAGAGCATGTGTAATTTCCGTGTCACGCCTATGCCGATAGTTGTTGACGAGTATGTTTACCTGGGACAAATAGTACAACTAGGTAAATCCAACTTCGACCGAGAGGTCAATCAATGGATTCAACTCGGCTGGGCAGTATTCGGGAAACTACGACACATCTTCTCGTCAGGTATACCTCAAAACCTGAAAACAAGATTATAAAACCAGTGCGTGTTGCCAGTGATGACTTATGGATCTGAAACGTGGTCCTTCATTGCTGGCTGTATGAGAAAGCTCAAGGTCGCTCAGCGAGCTATGGAGACGGCTATGCTCGGTGTTTCTCTGCGCGATAAACTTAGAAATGAGGATATCTGCAATAGAACCAGAGTGACCGACATAGCGCAACGGATTAGTAAACTGAAGTGGCAATGGGCCGGCCATATAGCTCGAAGAACCGATAACCGATGGAGAAAGAAGGTTCTTGAGTGGCAGCCTCGCACCAGTAGGCGAAGTGTAGGCCCCCCCCCCCCTCTAGATGGAGTGACCACCTGGTAAAACATGCAGGAAGTTGATGGATGCAAGTAGCTCAGGACCGTGCTTTGTGGTATTCTTGGGGGAAGCCTATTTTCAGCAGTGGACTTGTGAAGCAATATAATGAGGATGATGAAACGAGCACACAGCACCTGACGGTAAGTGCCACCCGCAGACACCTACATCTATTCTCGATTAAGAATCAAAATGTAGATGCGTTATGAACTAAGATGAAAAGCTTCGCACCTAAAATAAAATGCCTGGTATTTTTTTCATGAATTTTTAAATAATAAAATAGAGGTTCTTCGAAAGTTTAGTCAGTGTACTATGTTTGAATGAATTATACCATAGAAAAGTAGTAAACGTAGAGTTTAATTTTAGAATTTGTATTTTATATTGCTGCCTACAACCTTGTCGGAAAGGTTAATAATATATTTCCCATGTGACGTAAGTGACGTAATGGTCAGAATAATCTGCAGTCTGCAATCGTCATACCTATTTTTCTACCGACTTCAAAAAGTAGACGGTACTCAATTCGACTGTATGTTTTTTTTTTGTGTGTTACCTCATAACTTTGTACTGGGTTGACCGATTTCGATGATTCTTTTTTTATTTGAAAGCTAATGCTTCACATGTGGTCCCATATAAATTTCTTCAAGGTCTGATTAATAGTTTTTGAGTTTTTCTTAATAATTTATATTGAAGTCGTTCGTACAAAATGTTCAATTTTAAATTATTTTATTAAATGGCTTGTACTTTAAGGGTGGTCCCATATAAATTTGTAGAAAAAATTCCATCCCTAAGGATTTCAAATAAATAATTTCTTTTTTAGCTATTTGAAGACGACTTTTACTTTTTGTTAAAAGTTATAATTATTGTTATGAGTAAGGCCGTCAATGTGCTAATTTGTGTTTAATGGCATTTAAAGGATTATAGATTACATTTGGTAGAGCCATACTGCAGTTTATTAGCTCAAGATAATTAATAGAATCGGGCGTTACTTTGCGGAAATCCATTAAATGCATGCATGCATTTGCTTTGAATTATATTAGTACCATATTTTTAATTTATGACTGCCGTGTAGTGGCAGCATAAGACAATCTATTACCCCATACGTAGGACACTCAATAAGTTTTAAGATATACAAAAAGTATTCTAGATACTATTAATATTTATTTTACATCTTTTCAAAATATTCTTACAAAGTTATATAATCAATAAAATAAAAATAATAATATACATCTATACAAAGTTCCATTCGCCTAAACCAACTCTGAAAACACTTTTGCCAGTCTTGATCTGACAGGACGGAAATCGCTTCTTCGTAGACAGCCACGGCATCTTCGGCGCTTGAAAACAACTTGCCTTTTATTTTTTTCTTTGAGTCTTGGGAACCTCAACCTTGAAAATCACAAGGAGCTAAGTCAGGGCTGTAGGGTGGGTGACTTAGAGTTTCAACACCAGATTGCTCAATAAATGTTTTTGTTCTAAGGGAAGTATGTGAAGAGGCGTTATCGTGATGCAGCATGATTCCCCGAAGCCCGGTCTTTGGTCTTCTCTCCCTGCACAGCTTGAAAAGCTTTGGGTAATGAAACTGCAGTATACCATTCAGAGTTGACTGACTTACAATTTTCCAAAGTTGACGTCTACAAATGTCCGCTCCTCGAAAAAAACTAGCCACCATTTTTTTGCTGACGTTGCAACGTCTTTGCAGTTTTGTCGGTAACTGTCCTTCTGAGTAGACCCATACCGATGATTGCCTTTTATTTTCCGGGTCATATTGATAGATCCATGTCTCATCACCAGTAACGATTTCTGAAACATGTCTAGATGCCCCGTTTTCAAAACGTAGACGCATTTCATGGCACCAATCCACACGAGTCTGTTTTTCGCTTTCGGAGAGCAAACGAGGGATCGATCGACAACAAAGCTTCCTCACTCTGTGATTCGTGGCTCTCCTCGCACCAACATTTCGGTAGTCCATACATTTTCAGCCGTTACTGCTGTTTGCGGGGCCCCGGTTCTTTGGTCATTTTTAAGATTAATTTTACCCCTTTTGAATTCAGCAAACCACTTAAAAATTGTTGCGCGTAATGGAGCGGAGTCACCTAATGCTGATTGCAACCGTTGTAAACTTAATTGTTCGGTTAAACCAAATTTAAAATCATAATATATCATAGCGCGCAAATGTTCACGGTCAACATCCTTCGTTTTAAATAAAAAGCGCGGGAAGCGTTGTAGGAAAACTAATAGAACTTTGTTTTTTTTTTAATATTGAGCAATTGACTTATGGAGTTCTATTTTTAAATAAATTTGCTTTTTAGAAACATATTGGTGCACACAGACACGGGTGCGTTCCATTTTTAATTTTCGAACATCTCAAAACTTATTGAGTGACCTACGTATCAACCCAGGGGTGTCGAAAAAGGAGACAGTGAAACGAGATAGTCAGCATTGGGTTGCTAACCATCCTGCAAAAGTATGGCAAATATGGGGGAATCTGTAGTGGAGCCCTATTTTTAGCAATAAACTTTTGATGGGCTGTAATGATTTTTTTTTACTTTTTATAAGTCAGTAATTACATAATCTAATTATTATAAATTTTAATACCATATTTATGTTGCAACTCCTTTCCTCCCTCATTTGCGTGCACTACCCCGTCACTACTGATCCCAGCACCACTACTCGCAACACCACTACACTAGGAAAGACACACCACCGTCGATAATATGACACATATTCCGCCTCTAAACATGGCAATTTCAGGTGAAGTAGACTACGGTGGCTGACCGCTAAAAGTAGTGTACTTTTCTTGCTCAAATTCGAATAGGCCAACTCGACCCGGGAATGACCTCGCCCGCACAAAATACCAGTAGACAAATGTAGAAATTTGAAATAAGAATGTTTAGTCACTTAGGTTTTTACTACATAGATTTTTCTGACAAATGTATTACAAAAAACTAACGATCCGCCCCCACTTCACCACCACAATGCGCACGCTTGATCTCTGAATCTCATCATTCTGGACAACAGCACTACCTACCGGGTCCAATTGTAAAACTAAGCCCTTCTCGAATCAACTTGATCACACACAAAATTTCATCAAATCGGTCTAGCCGTTTAGAAGGAGTTCAGTCGCATACACATGGACAGAAGAATTACACACAGTCCACTCGATGGTAAGTGGTTGCTGTGAACCATATACATCTATAAAGAATCAAAATGCAGATGCGTTGTCACCCGTGACGACTAAGATGGATTGCCTCTTTTCCAGTAAAAAGGGTCTTTATTTTCGAAAACTTTTGTATCAAAATTAAAATGCAAAAAGCCCTGTCCGATCATTCGTACTTTAATGGTAACATTACATTAAAAATTAAACGTCATATTATGAATTATAATAAAATGTTATTGTTAATTAAAATACAATTTTCTTAGAATTTAGCAAATTTTAATATGTAACAAGGATCCCCTATTTTTCACCCTTAGGAATAGGATTTGTTAATAAATTTAAATGGGACCATCCCTGAAGTATTCAAGCTATTAATAATAAAATAATCAATTAAATCGGTTGAGCCGTTTTCGAGATACATAAAAATATATATACCAATACCAACCAACCTGCTAGAACCAACATGTTTTCTTTAAACTCTGTTAAAAATAGAATACATCCTCTATTTTCTGCCGACTTCAAAAAGGAGACTGTACTCAATTCTACTATACGTTTTTTTTATGTGTGTTACCTCATAACTTTTTACTGGGTGAAACGATTTCAATTATTATTTTTTTATTTGAAAGCTGGTACGTCACATGTGGTCCCATATGAATTTGATCAAGGTCAGACCAACAGTTTTTGAATTATTCTTAATAATTTATATTGAAGTCGGATGTACAAACTTTTTAATTTTAAATTATAGAATTAGTACGTACGGTTGGCAACTATACGCATAACCCTCTCGGAAATGTTAGTAGACCCATATCCAGCGGCCGGATGTGCTTTACTTCTTACTTCTATATTTTATTAATAAGTCAAGGCCTTAATTAATTAATAATATTAATTACGGACTTTAAATAAATTAGTCTTAAATATTTTACAAGATTTATTGATATAATAAAATAAAATTTATTAACAACTATATAATTACAAGAACTTTCACATTTTGACTTGTTGATCAATTTATTTAATAAATAAACGATTCCGTTACTTATTTTGCCGTAAATCTACGGAATTTGTAAAAGCAGCACCATTAAAGTTTTACACAAGTGTAAGTGTGAGAAGTGGCAAACAAGTACATAGTCTATAGTCCGCCTGACCGTAATTGGTTGCTGTAGCCCATAGACACCTACATCTAACCTTGATAAAATCAAAATGCAGATAAATGCATTGCCAACCCTTAATACTAAGATGGAGAGCCTCGTTACCAGTCAACAAGGTCTGCGGTTCCCACCTATAAAAAACAGCAAAAATTATGACCGACGTCGTACCCTGGTCGAACCGTGCTGTAACGTGATATTATGGCTATACTACATAAATATTTAGAGCTATAGCTTGTGCAGTCGAAAGAGATTTTATAATTAATTAATAATTTATAACAAAGTATATACTACACATATTTGTTTTAAAACATTCAAGCGCGCATGCACTTCATCCTCTTGGTGGCGGGGTCCACCTTGCACACCTCGAACGAGCTGCATTTCATGTTGTTGCAGTAAACACCCGGTCCACCGGCTGCAATACAAATAGTAATGTCAGTTTTAACCTACTTAAGTTTCGCGTAGTGTATATATTCTTTGCTTAAGTGATAAAGCCACCGTGTGTAAGCGGCCTAAGATAATCCAATACCCCTATCACATCCCACAAGTGTGACTGACGTAAGAGGACACTTAGAGAAATGCTTGGAAGAACTTATGGCCACGATTGACAGCGTTATAGCCTTTACGTTTATGCCAGACGAAAAGTAGTGTTAAAGATGCGCGACGGTGTTGCGATCAAACATTCGCCAGCCAAGCGTGACGAATATACATGTGTCATTCATTCATTTCTAGTGACCTGATCATTCAAGTATTGATTCGTCTTACAAACCGTTTCAGTACTCTGTGATCAGTGAGACCCGCTCGATAATGTCGGTCTACTCTTTGGTCGTAGGTCCTGTCAATCGTTTGATCCGGAGCGTTCAAAATTAATTGCAATCATCAATACTTTGATGCGACCCGGGTCATATGTACGAATCATCCACGATTGACACGTGTCTATAAGACCAATCTTTCCTATAATGGCAGAGGCGCAGGTCTATTACGGAATAATATAGAAAGAAAGAGACTATTACAATTTACTGCATTGTTCCACCCGATCACAAGTGCAGAAATAACTGTATATGTTTTAATACTTAAATAAATAATAAATAGAATGTAAAATGGAATTAAGTGTTAAGTAATTTTGTTCTGATCATAAAATGATACCAAAATTTCTTGCTAGTTCTTCTCAGTTGAGTTTTTGCTTTTGAACCTTTGGTACATTTTGACGTTCATAAAAAGCTTAAAGCAAATAAGTTTGAAGCCAAAAATGTCATTAATTTTGAACAGCCTAAACAATTTTGTTTAACTAGTAAAACAATTCACCTTAATTTGTATTGATACTAAGAATTAAAAAAAGTAAGTGGCATTGAAAAAGAGAGACATCACAACATGTACCTCAGATAAGATTTGCGATGCTGCGACGGTCACATCAGGAAAAAAGCACGTAGTGCAAGTTTTTTTCGCTTACGACATTGAAAGCGTCAGTGTTTACAAATATTTTAAGGTAAAACAGATAAACAAATACGTACTTAGCGAAGAAAATTGTATTTTAACTATAGTAGTACGAGTACATTAAGATATAATAATTAAGCATTATATTAGGAATAATTAACATTAATTGTACTCTAATGTGCTAACATTATGTTATAGCTATGTACTACGTACTAGAGACGCCATTCAAACAAAAAATGTGCACTATTCTATGTGTTCGCGCATGCGCGGGAGATAGTAGAGTCTAGAATCTACTAGTTAGTCTGTGGTAGAGCCGCGCATACGCAGTTGATGCGCGTTGCGTCTGCGCGGTCAGTTTTTAATTTAAACTTTAATTTGAAATGTTGTATTATTAGCGCCGCTCCATACTGCATGAATATTGAAACAACAGACCAACTGTAGATTGAAACCATACCAAATAACACACTGTACGGATTGCAGTACAGTTCAGTTGAACATAGTGTATGTTCGGAATGCGAAATCTAGTACGTAGTACATATATATCGATGCGTACTAAAGTGTCTCTAAAGTCTATTTATACTTCTAATAGAGGCTAACTGAATGATAATGCCCATAGAAACCTACATCTATCCTCTATTAAGAGTGCAGATGGTTGTTACCCCGGAGAACTAAGATGGAACGCACCGTTTCTAGTGACAAGGGCCTCCAGTCCTCTAAAATCATTATGCTTCCATTTTACGCTGGTATTCTGTGAGAGCGTGCTTCCCTGATCGAGCCGGCCCATTCGCGCCGCAGTAATTTTACACTACTATATAGCGGAGGTCGTGAAAATATTCTGACATTTCCCCTTAGTCAAACTTTCGACTCCTACGCAATTAAAATTGTGTGATGGTTTACCTTACGTTACGATTACATGGCGGTAAACCTTACCTGATATCGTTATGGTCATCATCCTGCGGAAGTCCACTGCTCGATACTTTGACAAAACTAACTTTTAATTGACTGTTGAAAGATCTATGTCTCATAGAATACACTATTTAGCATGCGTAACTTAAAAGAAACTCTATGCTTTTTATTTTTTAAATTTGATGCTTAACTTACACTGTGAATATTTGTCATTTCCGCCAGTGTTGCCAAAAGCAGCAGCGTCAATACACGATTTAGCGTTGCAGGAGTTGGGGCAGCAGATCTTGCCGTGGCTGCAGTCATAGTTCTGAATACATTTGGGGCTGCAGCTGTATACCTTGGACGCGAGTGGACAGGAGCCCGCTGTGGATTAGTTTAAAGATAATCAGACATAAATAATCAGACATTACCTATTACTGGTTAAAGATAAAGTGCAGAGCCTTTGAATGATCTACTACTAAACAAAAGCCTCCTCTAAATTCTGAATAAGTCCGCCGCGCCACTCCAATGCGTGTTGGCGCACTTCAATGCTACGAAATATTTTATTCTTCATACATACACGTTTCCTCACGATGTATTCCTTCACCATAGATCACTTAAAATTACAATTAACAATTTCATTGGTAACAAATTTACGAGGGTTAACCCGGGTTGTTTGGTAATAAATAAATTGATTAGTTAATATACTGGTGTGTTGCACTGGCACTTGTTATTAAAATTGGAATGATATAAAATGCTTTATTTAAATCAATATTATAATACAATATATTAACGACTGTAGTCTTATGGTTAGAGGTGCATATTAAAACATTAAAAACTCGTAATTCGAATCCAACATGTGTCTGTTTAGAACAAGCGTTGCTAAGTTGTAATAGTTGACGAAAGTAGTAGGATCAATTTACATTGCGGCGGAACGGAATGGAACGGAAGCGTCGATTTAGCGTCGTCGCGCGCGAACTTGCGCGAATTCGCGCCTCAACCCTGTAATAAACGTTCAGTTATCTTATTTAGTCTAGATCTTTTATTTGACAAGAATGGTTGATTGGATATTATTTTTATATTGCTTATTTGTGAGGCAGAAAAAGAAAATGACGAGAAAATGAAGAATATCAGAAATAGGAAAAGAAATATTTGGGTTCATAATTTATGGAAGAAACGAAACCGTCACCCTTCGCGCCACTTCCCGCGCATTCCACAGACTGCGCCAACAGTAGAGCTACTAGAATTCCCCGAAAGACGCGCGACTTCTTTTTTGGCTCATGTCTTGTTTGCAGGTTACACAATTAAACTAAAACTGATTTTACTGTGTACAATTTCGTTACAAAAATTCGCTTCCATTCCTTTCCACGGCAATGTAAATTGCGCCGTAGTAATGGTAAGCAACATTCATAGTTATGTATGTAATTAATCTAAGTTGATAGTATTTTAATTTGTGACATTTTATCTTTAAAAAAAAACATAAGTGATTGTCGTGGAACACTCGGTTGGAACGAAGTTTTTTTTTGAATACTAATAATGCTATTAAACATTACTAATATTCCCTTAAACCACTTATGGTAAACTTAAAATGCTTGTATTAAAATTGGATCACGACAGTAGTCGAATGGCCGATTCAAACCCACGACCTTTCGAGTTCGCGGTCCGCGCCCTGCTATTAGGCTACTGATGCTTCTAATATATTATTATTGATAAACGTATTACATTATTGATTAAAAATACAAATAAATGAATTACTAGTGTCTATTAAAATGAAATGTCATTTAAAATAAAATAATATTGCTTTAATGGCAAGATAAGAAAAAGTGCGAAAGTTTACAGTATGTACGTCAGAAGGGGTCGTGATGGCAAAATCTTACTTTTTCTCGCCCAGCCCCCATCCGCCAAATTCGTACCTACCGTCCGATAAAGAACTTCGTTCAAAAATATCGTTCCAAAAACTTCACTCACCAGCGTATACACTGTCAATGACAAGGAAAACACCGAAGATGCACAAGATCGCCGTCACTGAACCTGAAAATCATAAAACTTAGATTAAGTTTAAATGGTTATTTTCATTTATGTCATTTATAAGTTTAGTTTCTAAGATCCAAGAGGCAGTCCATGGATGCAGGTGGATTATGACCGTGTATGGCATTCCTTGCGCAAGACTTCAGCAGTGGACTTGTGGAGGGCTGTAATGATAATAATAATAATAAAACAACTATGTAACTTTCACTGATTATCTTTTGGTTTAGTTCAGCCATCCCGCTATATTTATAACCATGGACTATAAGAATATTGTTGTTATTGCATGCCGTAACCGCAACGCGCATAGGTATGTTCTACTAGCGCCTAAAAATCAAGATTCCAACGTTTTGTCGCAATAAATCGTATCTAGCAATCATATTATACATATAAATGATATAAAAAGCACATTGTCAGAAAGATAAATGATTGTTGAACTTTTTAATATTTTTTTTTTGAATCGATTAATTGCTATTTTTACATAAAAAATGGATTTTAGTGGCTTATAGTGTGGATTTATCAAGTCCGTATGGCTTCGTAAGCACGATAACTTTTGAAAATATCAATTGTTCAACTCAATCTATTTTTAAAACTCTTCATCTATCATGTGGGAAGCCATTGCATGTAAATGGCAGTTCAATTTTGTTTTGTTTAGTTATAATTAATTTTTTTCGGCTGCTAAATGTCGAAATTTTCGTTCTTTGAGCAGCCTTATGTGAAATCATTTTAGTAAATAGACTGCCTCACTCAGTTAGTACCAGGGCTGCCAGATGTACGATTTAAATCGTACTTCTACGATTTTTTGGCGTTTTTACTCATGTACAATCGCTAGACCAAGATCGTACGGAAAATGTACGACTTTTAAAGATAATTTAATATTTGGAAATATTTCATATACTTAGCAAAATTTCATAATGAAACGAATGTGCCCCATCGACAAGTATAAATTATGTTCGGGTAATCCCTCAACAATCTTATGAGTGCCTAGATCTTTTACTTGAATGAAGAACTTTTGTGCAATCATGTGAAGACTGTATTTGTTTAAATTATTACAAAAATAATTATTTTTCTCTTTCGGTAATAACTGCGACTTGTCAAAAACCTGTTTTTCTTATCTGTTTAGTCTCGTTCTGTATCCTGTCCTGAGTTGTTTTTTGTGTTAGTTTAATTAGGTAGTTCAAGCAAGAATGAGTGAACCTACCAATGCTGTTTCCAGTAATTACAGAAATAAAGTACTTTACTTACTACCATTCATGATATTTGTACCAAGAGTAGTAAAACCTGACGACATTCAAACAATCCAGGCAATAGATGATGAATGGCGCAGTTTTCCCAACATTTTAAATAAAGTTGACTTAATATTAAATGTTGACGAGTTTTGGGGTGTCATCAAAAAATCTTTTGAAAATTATAAAACACTGGCTCAATTCGCTTTGAATTTGTTATGTTTGCCCCATTCTAGTGCCGATTGTGAACGAGCATTTAACCAATTTAACTTAATTAAAACAAAACTTATTAAACAGTTTACCCAATAAAACACTAAATGGAACATTATTAGCTAAGCCACTGATAAGAAGAAACGAAAATTTTACGAAGTTTAAGTCAACAAAAAAAATGTTGAAAATGACGACCTCAGCAAATTGGTATAACTATAATAAGTGGTTGTAATATATTTTTGATCATCGCTTAACAAATTTTTGTTAGTTTGAATAAAAGCTGTTTACTTTTAGATTGTACGATCTTTTTATTTCAAAATTTCCCTGACATACGACTTTTTTATATTTGGCGTATGATCACGCGTTTTTTCCATCTGGCAGCCCTGGTTAATATTAGTACGGCGTCAACCGCCGTTATTAGTGGATACTGGATACCACAAACTATATAGAAACACTACGGTGGATACTGTATTGGTTGTTAGCAGCGGCTTAAAAAGATCGCTGTACAAATAAATACAAAATATTCGAAAAACAAATTTCTTACTATATTTTATATTACTTGATTATTATAATAATCAGAGATTTTTATTACAATATTTTAAAAGCACAGAATAAATAATAGTAGTACGTACTAAAAGTAAGTAGGATGTAATATTTATACTTAAATACGTCTTGGACTTTATGGAGTGACATGAATGATATGATGATTATATGAGCATTATGAGCCGTGCACTTTTGGATTTTCCAAACATTTTTCAAATTGAATTTTGACATAAAATTATCGGAAAATTGGAAGTATAATAAGGTAATTAGTGAAAACTTCTGTGTATTTAAACTACTTTAAAATTCCGTATAATCATGTTATACGTAATTTTTTTAATGCGATTGTGGCATGCTCAATTTAATTTACCAATAGTTTATTTTTATTATGTCGACGAAGATGTGGTAACAGTGCATCTCAAGCAACACGCAATCGTGCGTGCCTCACGAACTAAGTGGCGCACAGCGACAGCTCCGTGTCCAAGCTTGCATCATATTGCCGAATAGGCACACAAAGGAGGGAATTATAATTCGAATTGTTACATGTGATTAGAAGTGGATCTTATACGATAATCACAAAATTTTCATAACAGTCTTTAAATACCCAATAAGTGCCCAAGCCAAACAGTGCCTGAAACTAAATATTAGCTAAAAGAAACTCATGGTGGCAGTTTGGTAATCTACTGTTGATGCTATTCACTATAATACTTAGCCATCAAATGTCACAGTTATTGATGACCATTATTGTCAAGAATTGCAAGTCATGGTGGAGGTGACATTCAAACAATGCAGATTAGTGAACTGCTCTTTGCTATTGCTTTTTCATGACAACACCCGGCACTATACTGTACAACAGACGTTGGCAACATTAACAGAGCTAAAGCTAGAGACCCTTCCTCATGTACCATATTTTCTAAACGTTGCTTCACCATACTATCACTTTTTGAAACTTCGGTTAGGCAAAAATTTCAGTTTTAAAGAAACAGTATCTTTAAAAAGTTCATCGATTCTCATACAGGAAACTTCTAACATTACACTAACAAACTGCGCACAAAGTGACAAAAGTTAAAGGTTTAGAAAAATAATTTGATAAACATAAACAAAAACATAAACGGCAATTTAACAGGTAAAGAACTGATAAAAAAATTGAGGATATTTTAAGACCGCAAACACGCATACAGACACGCGTAGCGGTAAAACGGAATTTATAACCGTCTTACTGCGTACTTTACGTACGTATATACTTAGTTTAAACTTGTTTATTGACAAACTTTGCATATGTATCTGAGATTTTGTGGTAAAAGCGTATACATTGCCCCATAAATGAATTACTGATTCTGTGGAGTCTAGTAACTGGCATTACAAGCTTATGTTTGTTCCTAGTGTTTAAAGTATGAACATGCTTATTCTTATTAAAGCTATACCTACGAGGCAGCACTGAAGATTTCGGGAATCAAGAAAGTGACACGAAGTATTCTCCGCGAAATTTGACACATTTTTCGATATGATGGAAACAATCATTGAAGCAACCATTCCATTCGGAAGTTGGGGTTGTAGGCGTCCACAGCTTCGTCAGGTGATGAAAATCTCTGTCCACGCAATTTATTCTTTATTTTAGGGAAAGTATAGAAATCATTAGGGCTTAGGTCGGGGCTGTACGGCGGATGGTCTAATAATTCTATGTTTTCTTGCTCTAAAAACTCTTTTGTTCTGTGTGCGGTGTGAGAACTCGCATTGTCGTGATGGAGGATGATGCGGCGGTTGCAGTTCTCTTTACGGAGTTCAGAAACGACCTGTGGCAAACAAATGCTAGCATACCATTCTGCATTAACCGTTCTTTTTCGCTCACGAGGAATAGTCGTCATTTTTTTTGCAACACTTCGTGAACGAACCATTTTTGTTGGCTTTAACTCATTTTCGAACACCCAAACTCGTGACTGGTTTTTTTGTTTCAGGTTCGTACGCGTATATCCAGGATTCGTCACCTGATACGATGTTGTATACAGCATTTGAGGATCCTGCGTGGAATCTTTCGAGAGTTCTGACGCACCAAGTAACGCGAGCCGCTTTTTGCTCTTCACAGAGCGAACGCGGTATCCATCGGGAAAACAACTTTTTTACACCTAATTGTTCATGCAAGATTATTTGTATTTGACTCATTCCAATGTCTAAAGTGGCCTGAATTTCGCGGTATGTCACATGTCGATCTTCCTCAATCAGCTTACGCACAGCATCAACGTTTTCTTGGGTGACTGCAGTTTTTGGACGACCTTGACGGGGATCATCACTGAGCTTGACACGTCCACGTTGAAATTCAGCAAACCAGCGATAAATTGTGGTTTTGGATGGGGCTTCATCACCAAATGCAGAAATCATCCGGTCAACACACTGTTTTTGTGTTAAACCACTTCGGAAGTCATAATAAATCATCGCTTTTGAATTTTCTCGAGTCAGTTCCATTTTCTCAACGACTAAACAAGTTTGACAAAACCTTGTGACAAGACCGAGAATCTTTTTTTAAATAAATAAATGGTATTTGATTTTTAAAACCAAGGTGTTTTCAATTAAAAATATTTTAATATGATAGGAACAGTGGAAATATTCCATTCCCGATACTTTTAGTGCAGCCTATGTATGTACATACATTACATTTTCATAAATATATTGCGATGCCAAAGTTAATATGGTTATTTCTTTAAATATTTCTCTGACTCTCTTTTACAAAACAAATATGGCTTTAATATCAGTCGCATTACCCCATAGCAAAATTCCATAAGATATTACGCTATGAAAGTAAATAAAATAAACTAATCTAGCTGTCTCAAGATCTATGAGAGTTCTAGTCTTTCTTACAGCATATAGTAAATAGTAATACCAAGGAAAACAGTGGTATTCACAAGACTCAACTCCTCCCCATTTAAAAGCACATTGGTATTCGAATGTTTAACATTAGGTATTTAGCTTTTATTTATTATTTATTTACTCATTTTTAAAAGGCCGGCAACGCATCTGCATTCCCCTGGTTCCCCTGGTGTTGCAGTTGTTCATGGGCGACGGTAGTCACTTACCATCAGGTGAGCCGCATGTTCGTTTGCACCCTCACCTATAAAAAAAAATTGCCGTTCAAGAGAAAATTGTTGGCGTTAAACCAATTTACTAATTTCGATAGAGCATTATTTATATCGTCATAATTAATTGACTGCCGTTTGAATTTGAAAATTAAAAAGGTATCATCAGCAAATAATACAATATCGTGATTGTTCCTTACAAGATAAAGTAAGTCATTAATATAGATTTTCCGCAATAACGATAAATGTAAAGAAGTTAAACATCATTTAGGGGCGCCGTAAGAAAATCGGCTACTCGATGCCATTCTGTGAGTATCGTCAGAGACGACAGAAGGAAACTAAAACGGAAAATAAATATGAACAGCATCTTCCCGATAACAGCTCAAAATAATAAAAAACTGCTATCCCGCCTGTCAAACGTGGCAACAATGGCAATCCAACCAACCCCTCCAAGGAGGTAATCTATGGGGACACCTATTTTTAAAAGCGGACTTTGATGGAATATAATGATGATGGTGATGAATAATCTTAAAATTAATTACTTTAGATCCGTGTGCACATAAAACGCGATGTTTTGTTTGCATTCATTGCCGGAAGAGAGTAAATTTTTCAATAATTGTGTTTACTATCACTACCATTAAATCCAACACTTCTGTGTTCAAAAACATACTCTACCATCTATAATCCCACACGATTGAAAAGTATTTGGATAAATTACATATATCTTATGATTTAGCAAGGTGTATGCTAAATCATTATGCTAATATCTAAATTAAATTCGTAATATAGGCATATTTATAATGTCACGGCCTTTAATAATTGACTCCTTTCATTCGACAAAATAGTACAGTGGAACAAGGTTAAGGTAAACGACTGTTTTAAAACAAATCTCAATCATACTAACCTATATTAAATTATATTAAATGATTATAAAAAAAATGACCCAAAACTAAAGTAATCATAAAGTTCCACGCGGCCAAACCACTGCCTACGTTTTCTAGCTGCATGGCTATATTAGACTTTCATATAATCATTTCAATACTAGCTTTAATACACGGTTTCGCCCGCGTTAAGGTTGGAATACTTAAAAATCATTTTACAAATCAAATCCCTTGTTGGTTGCGCAACAAAGCGCTTTTTCTAAAAAATTAATATAACCAATGGCCGGAATACAGATGTGGCTAAAATGGCTGATTTAACAACGCAGTTTGAATTTGCTCAAATTGGGGTAAATTGGTCTCCCCGTCTAATAAATTTGATCTGTAAGCCACTTTGTATGATTTATTATTTTATGCCAGCAAGTGCAAGTTTTGGGGGTTTGATTCCAACATACATTGCTATGTATATATCAAATATATACCTAATTGCCAACATACAACTGACCATGTGAAAAACAAGAAGGTCCATGTGAAAAACAAGGAGACTTATGGTGTTCACACTAAATGTTAACTTTACCGGAAAGTATCTAGATTTTTAAAATAAATGTACATTACAGTATGAAATGTACATTATTTGAAATAATTGTAATGCAAGGAATGAAAAAACGCTTTACTTTAGCTGTTCCAATCACAATAATCTATACATATAATAAATCTGTAGAAAAGTCGTGTCTGTAATTCTAATATATTCTTGAAAAAACAAGTCCAGGGGACTATATAAAGAGTTCTGAAGCTAAATTAGTGGTTTTTAGAATTTTTGTCTGTCTGTCTATCTGTCTTTCTGTCTGTCTGTCTGTCTGTCTGTCTGTGTATTCCGGATTCACGCAAAAAGTACTGAACCGATTTACATGAAATTTTGTATATAGGTAGTGAGTAACCCGGGGCAACTTATAGGATACTTTTTATCCGATTACGAAACTTCAAAAAAGGAAGATTATGTATTCTATTTCCTTTAGATGTTAATTTTGCTATCATATCTTAGTTATAGGCGGGATGACGGGTGTTTTTCAAATAAAAACCATATTTGTAAATAAAGTTTAAAATATAGTTATAATGTTGGTAAAATAATTTGAAACTACACCAATTTGGTATTCAAAACAGCGCCATCTATCATCAAATGGAAAAAGTAGTATATTTTGCTTTCAGTTACTAATAAATGAAATAATATAAATAACTTACATTTATATGATTAGAAGATTAGATTTTGAAAATTATTAAAAAACTCTAACGTTTAGTTTTTTAGTATTTTTTTATTTTATTTTAAAAGTGTAATTTCAATAGATAATGGTGACGTTTATCAAAAATATGAAAATTGATAAGGTATTTATTTCAATTACTAATATATATATGTAAAGTGATTAAAACTGGTCTGTCTGCAATTGTTGCAAAATTTTCGTTATCATTATAGTTTTTAGAGATTTTTATGTATGTCGTGGCCAGATCGTAGAATCTATACAAATAAATAAAATATAAGTGTCTGTTGTAATATCAAAATAACAGCTTTTTACTAAATGCATATGAAAGTATATACGACACTTATAACAAAAACACCATTTTTAAAATGTTTGTGTCTGTCTGTCTTTCTGTCTGTTTGTTCCGGCTAATCTCCGAAACGGCTGGACCGATTTCCACGGGACTTTCACTGGCAGATAGCGGATGTTATAAGGAGTAACTTAGGCTATATTTTAGAAAAAGAATTAGGGTTCCGCGCAACATAATTAAAACCCTAAATTACACGCGGGCGAAGTCGCGGGGAACAGCTAGTTTATAATATTTCTCTGGGACGCGAACTTTTTCACTTTGAAATTCCGTGTAGACTTCTGCCTTTGAAATTATTGGTTGCTGATTAGTTGTATATATACCCACTTATCAACAAATCGACTTTTAGCTCATATGTCACTTTAATATTAAAGAAAAATATTTTTTTTTAAATATCAAATAGACTTTGGAAAATAAAACATTTTCGTGAAAGAGTTGATAACAAGGAAACCGTCATGGCTCTGATAAATTAAAAATATTCGAAGTTCGCTAACATGTTTTAGGGCATCGCGGCAGATACTTTCCTGCTCGAAAGCCCTCTTATAAATGTGAGGAGGCCTGTAGCAATCTAACAGTGGTAGAGCCACACGGTAGCTTTTGCTGTCGCACGGATGGGCCGGCTCGAACCGGGGTGGTACCACGACCTCACAGAAAACCAGCGTGAAGTAGAGGTTTACCTCTGCGTTTCGCTTGGTGAGTGCAGGTGGCCGGAGGCCCTTTTTACTGGAAATGAGGCATTCTATCCTCCATCCTCACGGGTGACAACGCATCTACATTTTGATTTGTAATAGAGGATAGATGTAGATGTCTATGGGCCGCAGCAACCACTTACCATCAGGTGGACTGTGTGCCCGTTTGTCACCCTAATCCTATAAAAAAAGCAATATAGATTATAGAACAAATCTTGGATTTAAGTAATTACTTCACAAGGATTTTTTATAATTAAATTGTTTTTTGTTATTTTGCGTCGTTGCTGATGGATGCTGCCGCATCTTAGTGGATTCTCTTACGCCGCTACAACACAACTAGATTTTTATTTATTTTTTTTCACTATTCAAGCGCGCGTCATACGCGTGCTGTCAGCTTTTGGTTACAATGCTCGTTGCTCGGGCGTTAGCCGCGCGATTTTAGATACATCGGCCGCCTTTTCCTTGTACATTTGATCGCGCGTTTTCGTCTAGTGGACGCACGTTGACACACACATCGAGCATTGATACGGACTTCTTTATCGATGAAATTCAAAAGCAAAATTGGTTCTTATACCAATTTTGCTCTCTCTGGTAACGCGTCGTCGAACGTCATGCTGTGCATGGTGTATGTACGCTCTCAACGGGCGATGTACGCAACTACGCAACGCCAAGCGCCCAATGAGTACCAGCTCTTAATACGGGTCTTGTGTATTCCCTTTATTTTTTTTACAAAACTATTTTTTTTACGTGGTAGAGCCATGCTGCAGCTATATTAGTAATATAGTTCTAGCACGAATGGGTCGCCTCGTAAAATAGCAGTTTAACGCTGATATGTTTCGTATGGCGAGTGTTGAGAACCAGAGACCCTTTTTAATGGAAACATTCTAATCATTCTGTCTTAGTCCTCACAGGTGACAACACATCTGCATTTTGATTCTTAATCGCGAATAGATGTTGATGTCTACGGGCCACAGTATCCACTTACCATCAGGTGGATGGTGTGCTCGTGTGTCACATTTATTTGTTAAAAAAGACAAATACTCGTAAATACAACGCTCTTAGCGTAAAGTCGATTGTATAGAACAATGGAAGCGTAAATGATGTCAGAAGCATGCGCGAAGGCACTTGTAGTAAAGATTTTGAAGGGAAAAGTTAATGTGAATTTATTCAATCAAATCATGACGATTTCTTTAACGTCAACCTTTACTGCATAGAGTTATCGCTTATTGCTATGAATATGGTTAATAATAGTGTTAGTCATTCGTTTGTCGTTAAGTAGGTAATGGATGTAATAATCAACACATAGGTACTTAAACGAGTTCATCCGGACCTCCACAACAAACGAGGATTTCTTTTAATATGGAACTGTAAATACGTTTTCATATAACCGGGGTAAAAATTATATATTGATTATTTTTATAAAAGCAATTTTTTATAAGTTCAATATTCAACTAACAAAATATTTTACGCCCTACATTGGTAAACACTTCACTAAACAAAAGAGATAGTAAATAATGATAAATTAAATATTCTTCATATATTATTTATATCTGCATTGATTTAATTAACAGCAATAAACAATATCAAAGAGATAGTATCTAAACTCAAAGGGCTTTAATAAAAAAATAAACAGTCACATACCCATTTTGTTTATATCTTCGTAATCAACAAAAGCAAGAACTGCTCACTTGTCACTTGCACTCAGACGTGGCGTCGTTGCAAGACTGTTCTCAAGCTAATAATAAGTGAGACTGGTTCATCAGACAAAACCACACAGTACTGCGTGCGCCGGTTTATAATGGTATTCTACCATATAGAATATTTTCGTATAGTAAACATAATATGTCAATGCCTACTAACTTTTGTCTCTGAGAGTATGTTACAATAAGACATTTAGTACCAAATACCCTTCCAAAATCTTTCAATTTTATGGCTGTAAGTAAAGAAATCATACTACAATCGTGATATTATAAATATAAAATTGATCATTTGGATGTTTGTCTTTCAATCACAATTTAAAGGTTGAACGAATTCTAATGAAAGGCATAGATGTTAGATTTAATCGGATATACTTTTTACTCTATAACAATCATTATTAAAGTTTAATTAACGCTCAGCCAAATTCTCACGCCTTTCACTTAAATAATGGGTAGGTAGAGACCACAGGTTCACTTTTGGTACGATCCTGAGACACCTTTCACGCTTCTTTCACATCCATGTCTTCGAGCTCTTTGGTTACGAATACTCTTAATTTGGTCTATCTTCAATATTATATCGTCAACTCGGTCGATAAACTTTCGTCTAGGCCCTAGACTCTAAGGCGTCATTGTCGACTACCGCTGATTTAAAATATTAAGATTTCACATTAACATAGTAAATTAACATATTAAAATAATATGGCGTCCAAAAACCTCCTACCCGAATAACTGTTCTTTTAGATAATTTCAACCGGGGTTTTATTGGTTGAATTGAATTTTGATATATTAAGTATATAATATAATGATCTATATTTACGCGAACACTACACATTTAAATAAAACTAGTTTTACGAATTTTATCGCGTATATTAACTTATTTTATATTCCCGACGTTTCGAAGTCGTTCCCGAAGTCTGCAGTCTGTGAACACGTAGGATCGCCCCCGTCACTAATTCTCGCTAAAGAACACCGATTCCTTCCAAGGATGATTCTCGAGGCTATTGAAATCAAAAACATACTAATTTCAATAGAGAAGATGGCTGGGTGCTATCATCTGATTGGGATCCTATAATTAATAAAATTAAGTCCCAATCCAAGCATACAACTGCAACACTTCAAGATACTGTAAATTCATTCTGCGTAGATCGGAACAAAAGTTAATAATTTTAATCTAGACGGAACCGTGGTTAACTATGATATTGAGATGTCAAACACCTCAGTTCCCCCCGTGACCATCGGTGCTGTAAAGTGTTCGAAACGTCGGGAATATAAAATAAGTTAATATACGCGATAAAATCCCTAAAACTAGTTTTATTTAAATATTAAATATAATCGGAAATAAATATAATTGATTTTTTCATACTGAAGTGATAAACGAGCTTACAATTCACCTTATAGTACCTAAGTAACTGCTGCACTCCATAGTTTTAGGTGTCCTACAGGCAACTTCAAACAAAGAAAGCTATAGATGCGTTGTCTACTTTTAGGACTAAAATGGAATGATTTTCCCCCTGAAATAATATTGGCTTTCTATATCATTTAGACCGGAATACAACAGTGCTAGCTCAATCCAGACGGACTTCTTTAAAAGGAGTCCTGCCACCTAGAATCAATAGAAATCATCCGAGCAGGAATGTACTAATACCAGAATATACGAGTACGTACACACAATCCCTTCACTTGTATAACCCTTCAATGAATCGCTTGTTCGATATGGTCACGGGTAAGTTTGGATATAAATGCGGCTCAGTAACGCAATATCTAAACGTATGGCCGCGGGTTCAAATACTACAAACTATTGGTCCGGGTTATAATGTTTGTCCAAGTGTAAGTTACATTTAAAACGCCTTCGTTTTTAGTAATATAGGAATTATAACGACACGGATCCAAAAACTATATCATGTGTAGTGTTGATGATGCAGATGGGATTTGTACTCAAAATCTACAGAATAGTTATATAGAAGGACATGGAAGTTTGACAAACGAAATTTTAATTTCTTGCATCGAAAAAAAAAGAGTTTTTCATTTTATTTTATTTCATATCATTTTCACATGCCATCGATACGTGTTAGGCAAGATCTAGTATAATGTTAAGATAACACCTTTGGCATCGTACATTTGTCCGATAGCTGGACACTGTCTCACTTCAGAAAGGGTTTTTAAGCAGGGAAAGAGTTCAACGCACTGCTGCAATGCGTGTTGGCAGATATCACACGTCTTCTTTTTTTATATTGCTCAGATTGCAGGTTCCTTTATGATGTTAATTCAGTACCGGGAATAGAACTTGGTTTGCCCGCGTGCAAGGAAAATTAAAGCTAATACCCTACTCTTACAATAATTTAAATATATAAACTAGGCTCCCATCGATGACCAAAATAGATATAAGCTAAATTAACAATTTTAAAATAGCATATTATAATATATTTTTCTTAAATTTTACATAATACTTAATTTTATCTACAATATAAAACTATGATTATAAAAAAAAACCTAAAACTAGAAACTTAATTATCATATAGTCCTACTCCCCGCGGTATCGTGCCAAGAACGCTGGCCGTGTTTCCCCGCTGAATGGTTATACTTAGCCTTTGAGCGAGAAAAGAACCAGCCCTCTTATCACCAGCAGCAACGACCAGCCGCGGATTGAGTTACTTTAAGAACTTCACCACACGTGGACCCCACGGACCGATTGTCTCTACAGCAAATGGCACAAATATGTAGTTATCTCTCAGAGACTCATATTTGCGCCACTTACTCAGTTCAGCTGCCTCTGATGCCGCCCCGGCTCTAAACGAGGTACCCCTGAGATGAGAGGCCGCCAGAGTGTCTACGCAAGTAGCATCCCACACTAGGGCTTTACCTCTCTCCCAAGGGACCAATGTCATACCGTCGGGTCTCCTGACATCGTCTCTAAATATTCCACAAGGCTCTAAAACCGAGGGAACATTTATAGAGACAAGAGCCCTTCGGATGACATCGTTTAAAGAACTGTGTCGTGAAAACCTACCAGCGCTTTTCTTACATGAAAGTCCGTGTAGCCCAAACTTGTCGACGCTACCACAGGGGCACTCATGGGGTTGACAATGCGCCGCTCCTAGTCGGATTCCTACGGCAATACGCAAGCTTTCCCCATCAAGTAATGTGCCGAGATTACTTGATGGTAAAGCGTGTAACCAGTGACTAGATTCCTTAGTCGAAACAGCTAGAAGGCGTGCCTTATCTTGGTCACTATGGAAATTATGAAACAAATCCTTCTGCACGCCCTGTACCAACGGAATATCCCACTGTTTTTGTTGGTTAACTTCCAGTGGAATATTTTCACCAGGACAGAGCGTTTGCCATGTCTGCCCTGCCTCCGTAGCAAAGCATAGGTCTACTTTATTATTTAAAATTATGTTACATAAGTCATTGACACTATGCACGGAAGCAAGGAAAGCAGGCAATGCAACGCTAGAAAGATTTCTCACACCAATGCCACCAAATTTTATAGGTAAAGTAGCTTGAGCCCAGGCTGTTGTATTTAAAGTTAAATTTAGAATTTTTTCTATAGCAATTTTAAGATTATTATCAATATCTTGTAAAATATCTGAACATTTCCAGACTGGACTCGAGCGGAGTAAGTATGTAAATCTAGGTACAAGAAGACAATATTTTAAAATAGTAAGAGCTATGTGGGGGTTTAATTTATACAATTTATCAACGTGGTTTAAAAACTGATCAAATTTTGTTTTTAAAACAGGTTTAATACTATCGAAAAACAACGGGGCACCTAGCAGGTATAGTGATTCCGTATTGACAGTTTTTCTTCCTGGACAAATATGATTAAAATTTTGAATTAAATTGTCTCTATGAGAAGTAGATAAATTATTGGAAAAAAATATTTCACATTTATTGCTATTTGGTTCAAGGCCAATATTTTTAAAATTTCGAAAAATATGAGTAAGATCGCTGAGAACGTCATCTGCTCTACCTCCCAGTGTACCGTCGTCTAGGTACCAGACATTCAGCTTGGATTTCAAATTTGAAATAAAGGGTTGAATTCTCAAACTGAAAAGTGCTGGATCCAGAGGGTCACCCTGCTGAACACCAACAGCAGAATCGATAACATGGTTTTCGTAAAACAAGTTAGTATTTTGACTATAACATTGCCAAACGTAATGATAAACTTCGGGGGTATTGTTAGCCCCTTCTTTCAGCAAGGTTACCCTATCGATAGAGTTAAAAGCATTCCTTAGGTCAACCTTCACAAAAACATCTGCATCAGAGTTTGTTAAAAATGTACGCACTGAATGTACCGCCGCCTCACAGCCACCTCTAGTGCCAAAACCTAGTTGAGTAGGCTGAAATTTGGTCTTAAGGTTAGAGATTATGTACCTGCAAGCTAATTTTGAAGTTAAGCGTCGAAATGTGGAACCAACGGCAATAGGACGGATACCGTTATCCTTTTTTTTTGAAGGCACATAATCTTGCCCCATATAAGAATGGAATGAAATTTGGATTAACATTACCAGAAAGCATAAAGTTACATAATTTTGTAATGTCTTTAAGAAGTACTCCACCGGCGTCACCGGCAGAAGCGCTTACAAGATCTTTAAGATGTTGAGGCGTAATTCCGTCAATGCCGCCAGCAGAGCCATTCGAAAATGACATAATTACTTCTAAAGTGTCTTTTTCCGAAATTTGTAAAGGTTGCATAGAAGTCTTGGGAGGCAGCAGTAAACCCTGAGACGGTGTGACCGAAGGATGCTTTTGACGAAGGCTTTCAAGAGTTTCGATATTACGAGGAGCCAGGATGTCGTCTGAGAATAAAATACGGGATGCATTTTTTAAGTCGCCATCCATTACTTTCGACTCAACTACTTTTTTTAAATCAAATTTAGAACGTGGTCGAGATAAATCAGTATTAATTGGGTAATCTAAATTTTGAAAAGATGTCTCTTTTAGTTGA